TCTGAAACTAAAACCATATTTGGTGTATATGAGAATTGGTTTTCTTTCCTACAATACCAGTCAGGAATAAAGAGAAGATACTGTGTGTGTGTGTGTGTGTGTGTGTGTGTGTGTGTGTGTGTATTTTATACTCTTCCTACCCCAGAACTCTATTGGCCCATCTTAGTTACTACTTCAAAGCAGAAAATAATAAAAAGTGGATGAATTGGCACCAAAAATGTGACATAAATATACTAACATATGATTACAACCTTCCAAAAGTGAACTGAGAATCTATGAAATGAACTAACAAATGGCTTTAACCCAGACTTACTTTCTTAATACATAGAGATCACATTGAGGCTTGAGGTCTTCTTTCCTGCCACTCTGACTTCTTGGCAGCAGTGTGACTTCATCTAATGCCTGGTCTATGTTCATCAGCCAAAGAGGCTGTCAAATTTTAACACCTACCCACTTGTGAAGCTATGGAATTCAATGACGAATTCAAGAACCCAAAGCTGACTCCATGATGTTTCAGGAAGCAAAATACAAAATAAGAGTCCAATGATCAGCAGCAAAAACTTCCTAATGAAGTAATCCATAGACAAAAATAAAACAGAGATTCTGCTCGGCAGAGGGGATGAGAAGGACTGAAAGAAATATATCACATGGAACATGAATTTCTTCACTTCCAAAAAGGCATCTTGATACATAATTCCCTCAAATTCCCTAGGCTACTACCCTGTGGATGGCAGTGACCTTGGCCAGGAAGCACTGTCCTTCGCCGGCCTCTTTATACTCCCTCTTCCACCTACCTCAATGGTATATTGCTCAAAGATGCGCAGCTGCAGGAAGATGTCCAGTTTGATTTTCCGCTCATGGAATAGTTCCTCCATCTGCACCTGGGCATCATCTAGCTGCTGCAGGACAGACTCAATGTGGCTGATGGAGCTACTGTGGGGCGTCTTATTGTTGGACATAGCCGAGTCCCTGTGGCAGAGTAGGGGAAAGATGGAGAGAGAGATTTTGTATGTTAAAAGAGACAGAGGAGGAGGAGGAGGATTCCTCTGAGCAAGGTAGATATGAATCTGGTGAGTCATTCAAACAACAGATATTTATCAAATTCCTACCATGAGCCTGACACTATCTGCTTAGGAGGGGAGATACATCATCATCATTTGGGTTCACAACTCTATTTCAAAGACTAGCTCTTGGAATTGTGAAAGGGAGCAAATGAAATAAAGTATGGGAAAGGGCGCTGCAGAGCATAAAATGTTAGAGAAATGGAATGGTTCCATACATATGTGTAGTCTACAATATATAGCTTTAATACACACATGCACATGCATATATACATATATTACATAAGAACAGACAAAGACATATGAAAAACAAAAATAAAAATCTTCCTAACTTTACCTCACAGGATTGTTAAAATAAGATGACATCATGGCTGCCAAAATTATTCACCCACTTTACAATGCTATGCTGAAGTTGTGGGCTGGTGTTCTTAAACAGGCTTCAAGTTATAGTTAAGAAAACATGGGATCTGGCATCTGCAAACCTGGATTAGGCTCCCACTCTGACATATATGGGCTTGTGGCCCTAGGAAATCACCTCCTTGAACTGCAGCTGCCTTACTTATAAAGCAGACTTAATAACCATTGCCCTACTCACTTCATAGTTTGCTGCTAAACAAGACATTGCATGAGACTGTGACCAGGAACATGATATATGTATTAATCCTGAAAGGACCCAGTGAAGTGTCAAGGCTAGGTTACAGGGGCTGGGATAACCAACAAAGATCTCGGGGAGGATAAGTTTTGATTTGGGGTGTAAAGGAGCAGATGCCCACAAGTGTGTGAGAGGGGCATGCACTCTTAGCAGTCTGTACAGAAGAGGTAGGGAGAAAGGAGCCAAAAGATAGAGAGACCAACTTGCTCTTAGGAATGAGGTGGTAGTGAGCCCTCCAAAGAGGTAATCATCAGAGAACAACTATGGAGTTTAAGAAGCTTAGATCCTATAGGGTCCTGAGTTAGCTAGGGTCCTAAAACTTGAAGTAGAGTGTTACATTCACTATCTTGTGACACATTGGTTTCTTAAACAGCTGAAGAAGTCAGAGGGCAAGTGTAATTCATTAGCTTTGACTCCTGTCATTAGCAGGTATTCTGGAAGCTAGGTCCTTTTAGTCTACACTCATCTGAGAAGAAATGGCATCTATCTGTTCCTGAAGACAGATTTTGTAAAGCACCTTTCCTTCTATCATTTAGAGACCTTCCAATTCCTACCTCCTTGCCTTGGCCTATTTGTGCATGAAATAGCACAGTTCCTACCCCACTATTATACAGATACCCCCAACCATAAGAAGAACACAAGAGAAGTAGCGATACTGTTCATCATATACTTGTTGAGGGCTTGGCTGCTGGGATGATCTGACTGTTCTCTCTCACTGATCCTCTCAGCCTTTCTCCATCACTCAGCTTTCAGAAGAAGAGAAAGATGTCTACAATGCTATACTGCACCTATGTCAGTGTCATACTCACTAGGAATCTTGGTTATGATGTGAAACCACCTTAGGCACTCAGTGAAAGTCATCAGAAGGACAGTGGAGACCCAGAAAAGACCTGTCTCGGGTGTGTGTGAGGCATTTTGCCAATGTCCACCAAGCCCCATTTACTTCTTCTTTGACTGGTTTTCAGGTTAGGAGTGGAGCCCAGGCTAGAGTTAGGCCAGTGGAGGAGTGAATGTCACTGGTGCCTTTGGCCACACACCTATGGTGTTCTAACTCAATGGAACTTAAAACTTACAGAATAGGCATCACTCACATTGCTGCTTTCACCATCACCGACCACCTTGGCCCTTAGGCACTGTGCAAGGTTGGCAGTTGTGAAGAGCATGTGGTATCTCCACAAGCACATGCCCATAGAGAGTGGGATGTATGTGAAGAAATAACACAAAGCCATCACAAAATTTTAGAGCTGACAGAGCTCCTAGAGTGAACCCCTTAATTACACAGACAAAGCACCTGAGGCCCTGAGAGGTTAAGTGACTGCCTACTATTTGGAATTTTCATTAAAAGCAAATGACAGTGGAGTTTCCTGGGTAGGCAGACAAAACTGTCATGCATTATATATTCATGAAGATGAATTGGGGGAAGAAGGGGAAGAGGCTGTCTTGTTAGTATGCAATAGAAGGATTCAGAACATCTCATGTGCATGTTTAGAATAGAAATTATTAATTTTCAACAGAAAAACATGCCAGGGCCTTCTAAAGGTAATTGCTCATTGTTTATTTAATTGGACAACTGGTATGGGGGGAAAAGCCCTCTCCAACTGAAGTAATTCCCTCAGGCACAGAGGCTGGTCTGGGACTTGTTGATGAGATTATTTCTGTCTGCAGCTGGCAGAGGTCCCAGAACTCAGTGATTTTGGGATAGGAACAAGTCCCCAAGGGCAGGCATCACTAGCACCATCAAATCCTATTTACACAGCACCTGGGCAAGGGGCTGTTAGCTAAGGGCTTGCCCAAGGCCTTGAGACACTATCTGAGGAGTCAATGCCCTTGACAGGAGCAGGAACTAGATAATGATGCCAATAAAAAAGAGGCAACAGGGTTGGGGTTGCAGCTCAGTGGTAGCACACTCATCTGGCATGTGTGAGGTGCTGGCTTTGATCCTCAGCCCCATATAAAAATAAATGAATAAAATAAAGTTATTGTGTCCATCTACAACTAAAAAAGTATTTTTTAAAAGAGGCAACAGTGTGGGCAATTCTAAACGAACATACGACTTTTGATAGGATTTCCCTTCTTGATTGTGTATGTTTAAGTTGACAAAGGAGTTTTATTTCCTAGGTAGCAGGGGATAGTGGAAGGGTCACAAGTGGTAACAACAAGCTAAGTAAGCCATCACCACACATTCTCTACATCCTCAGGGAGCCAAAGCCAAATGACAGCAAATGTGACCAGTAGGTCCAGGAGTTCAGAATTCAGCCCAAGATCAGATGCCAAATAACATTGTATTCCACATGTCCATTTCTCCACATGGTCAAATACATCAGAATTCTTAATGAAGATATTCATTTATGTTGAATTTTTGTTGTATTTATGTTCCTTATAAATTGCCAAATACCATCTTGAGGGATCAATGATACTTTAAAACATTAGAGCTTTTCCATTTACTGTTTCAGTAAGAACTCGAGTTGGGTGTGGTGCAGGCATTTTTATAACTTACACATGAAGAAACTGAAACTCACACAAGACCACAAAGTGGACTGCGGTTGAGTCAAGACTGGGACATGACTTATCTCACGTCTAGCCCGAGGCATTTCCCACTGGAAAGCATTGCCCATGCTGACCTGGCCTCGGTGGGCTCCCCCAGGGAGGGAGGCGCTGACCTGAGCTGCTGGATAAGGTCTTCGCCTTCCTTGATGACATTTAGAGTGGCATCCAGGGTGGCGGTCTGCTGCTGCTGGAACTGCTTGATCAGTTCCTGGACCGCATCCACAGAGTCTGCACAGACATCTTCCAGCATCTCCTTTTGCAGGTCTTCCATCCATGTCCACAACTGTGGGAGAGACAGCAGACTCCACTCAGGACAGATGGGAGAGGTCAGGCCCACCCGAGGACAAGTAATCAGGACTGGAATCACCCCACCTACCCTCAGCCAGTGTGTGCAAAGTCTGACTGCCCTCATCAGCACACCTATGGGTGTTTGTGCATGCTATGGGCTGGTTTATGATTCCTTACTTATGTTCATTACCCATCTTTGCCAAGTTTACTCCAATGGTGTTGGCACTCCTTAAGGAAAGGAACCACCCTGAGGTTCATGGAAACCTGCAGATCTCTCAAAGCAACGAGATCCCTTACCTTTTAGAGATTCAGAAAAACAGATGACTCAAATGGACAAATATTATTTTATCTTTCAGAAAAGAGAAAAGCAATGATTCTGAATACTTCTTCCATGCAACTAGACATTAATTCATAGAAATCATGCAAAAAAGAAGGTGGTGCTCAATAAGAATCAAAACAAGATTAATGCAGCATCATCTGTGCTAAACTACTGTATTCTTTTCAAGATTTCTATGGTTGCTTAGAAAGCTGAATGCCATACAGTTTATCTTAATTTTAATAAAAGTATAAGATACTTCCACACAATATTCAAGAAGATGAAATGCAACCAGGATATTACTGATCAGAAGAGTTTAAAAGAGCTAAAGTCTTAGTGTTTTGAACAGAATGAGCACTGGATGTGATGAGGGGTTGAGCTGAATTACCGAAAACTCATTTACTGATAGCTTTTCTACATACTGAAAATAGGTCTCCAGTGGCTTTTAACAGGGATCCATTTTGACTATTATGTTGACTATTTCCATATACAAGGGAGTGGAAGATGAGCATAGCATCTACTTTGAAACCAAGAGTTTTTACCTGGCTTGCAAGAAAGATAAACTCAGGGCCCTTCCAGCATAAAAGCCAATGGAAAAAAAATTGGTAGAAAGTTAGAAGGTGTGAAAAATGGCAGACATGGCTTTGACACCAAGACATCCAAAGTTCAGAGAGTTTAGCAGCAGTTTGTAGACAATTGTGATACCAAGTTAAGGTACTACTTGAAACCTGGAAAGCTGAGAGAGAGAGAGAGAGAGAGAGAGAGAGAGACACACACACACACACACACACACACACACACACACACTAGAAATCCCGTGAGACCATGTGCACACAGTCACTGGCAGGTAGGAGCAAACTTAAATTACAAGCTCATAATTTTGAATAAGCACCTCTTAGACTTAGTACAACACCATAATGTAGTCAGAAATAAACACTCATATTGCTAAACCATGGGTAAGGGATGATATTTCATTTCTTAAACTGTAATTTTCCTACTATCTGAATGTCTACAGGTCTCCTCTACATGGGCCCTGATAAGCATACCTAGATTGCTTTGTAAAAAAGTACAGATAACAGAGAAAATATCATTACTCATTTGCTTATTATCAGATAACCAATGATGAGATCTAGCAAAAAAGTTTTTACATCAAGCTTCTATAAGCCAGTGGCTGCCAGAACATATTAGGTAAAATCAGGGCAGTAGTGACCTTTATGTGTTTTTTTCCTTTCTGTCATCTATTTTATTTTTCTCTCCTTGAGGAACCATCTTTACCCTCCATTTATCTAGGGTATAACGTGTTAGCACTGTACCTCCTCCATCCATCTGCCTCTCCCCAGAAAGAATCCCATAGTCCAGTCATTTCCAGACCCTGTTTCTTGATCAAAATGGATCTGTACTGTGACCCATTTTTTTCAGGGTCCTTCTCCCTACTTGGCAAGTAGATGTGGTTCATGCTTTGTATATTATTTCTCTCAGAACACATGTAGTTGTGGCCCAAAGAATTACATGCAAAAGAATGAGTCTAATTTGGAGTTAAGGGAGTCTTTAGTGATCTCTTTTTTTTAAAATAAATTTTTAAAAATAAATGACAGCAAAAAGCATTACAATTCATATTACACATATACAGCACAATTTTTCATATCTCTGGTTGTATATAAAGTATGTTGATACCAATTCATGTCTTCAGGTTAGGCCTAATGGTGAAACCAGTGAGGTCCTGAAGGGCCAGTCCACACCCCCCATGCTATCCTGCATAGCTGGGCAGCCAAAGAAAAGGGAGACCTAAAAAAGCAGGAGGAAGGAAATAGATAAGCAAGGGAGACATAGAAGTTCTGTAGAAATAGTGTGTTTTATGGATGAATGGTTGAGGGAAGAAGTTATTTACTTCTTCACTTCTCCTGCTGATTGGCATTTTCACAGTCTGGCAGTCAATGAGCTGGTACAGTTGATTGGCCTTTAAGGGTACAGGAAGGAGTGTCATTCCCATAGGGTAAACTTCCACTCTCATTTTGAAGAGAGCATTTTACTTTGGCATTAACCACCAGCTTTTATTTTTAAAATAAATACCACAACAGTTTGGCGATTAAAATAGAGAATGAAGTTATTTTGTTCTTGAGGGCATCATCATTTTTGAAGACTGATTTAGTTCTGATTCTGGGGTGGGTGGGTGGAGGAACATATATGTCTATGGGAGTGCTTCTGGTATTTATGGGTGTGTGCATGGTCCTGTGTGTGTACGTGTATATGCATGTGCTTATGAATAGTTGATGGTGTGGCAGAATGACACAGGGTGAGAAACAAATGGAAGTGGGCATTTAATAAAACTAATTAAGAGCTGACGTTGGTTACTTTGGCTACATTCCTTCCTTTGACTCTCACCTTTTTACTACAGAAATATCTAAAAACTGATATTTTGAAATCCCAGGGACTGCAGCATTTCCATGGAAACACAGCCAAGAAAGAGAATTCTGTTTGGGCAATCTCTGCAGAACAGATGACACATGCTACAAATTCCTTATCCCTGGACAAAGAGAATGAGGACCGAGGTCATTGCTTTTCCCTACACCTTTCCTAGCTTTCCAGACCAGCAAAAGCCAGCTGCCCTCTTGGCCCCAGGTTTAAAAGTATACACACACACACACACACACACACACACAAACAAAAAAATAGTTTAGCACAATTTGTGCTAATAGCTGAGGCTCTGGCTGCATAAGATTCCAAGCACTTGTTTGTTTCCCCTCTGCATCAGGTAGTTCTTCTCTCTAAGTAGGGATATAAAGTTTGTTTTGGAAGGGCTAGAGGGTACAGCTCAATAGCAGAGCACTCACTTAGCATGTGTAAGGCCTTGGGTTGGATCTCCAGCACTGCAAAGAAAAAAAATGATTTTGGAAAATATCATTTATTAGGTTTTTCCTGATTATCTTGAAAATAACATTGAAAAAACTTGTTATTCTTAAAAATTCATTCTTCTTGTTTATTACTTCAAATCTTTATTCTATGTGTGTGATCAAAATTGCCATCATGCTAGATATATGGTTTAAATACTGTATACTATAACCCTTCCTTGTGTCATTAATGACTCTGGCCATATGGTTTATAATGACTGTGTAATATTTCACTACACATACACACTAGGATTTGCATCTATTTGTTCTATCCAATGAGGAACAGTTAGATGGTCTCTAATCATTCAAGATTATTAATAGCACTGTAATAAAATGACTCAATGGGTTTAACCTTTCATACTCCTGAGGTCACAAAGAATTCACAAAGTAAAGTCAACAGGATAAAGCAGAGTCTTTAATTTGCAGATGAAATGATTTTCATATTTTCCTTCTGTTTCCTCTCTGATCCTAATTAGAGTAAACCTTTTGATGTGGAAAGTGGGAAAAAGTAAAATTTTGAACTTCAGCCAGGGGAATCATAGGAAGTCTAGGTTAAGCCATTATGAAGATGAATGTTTGGGTCCCACACAGAAATGTACTATAAAGGGGGCCTTCAAATTCCAAGAAAATCTTATCCTATGATGACATTCTATTACAAATTGGCATTAAGGCAATTATTGTAGGAACCCAGCAAATTATTGTAGGAAGAAAGAAAAGAGGGAAGGAAGTAAAGAAGGAAAGAGCCATTCATAATTAGGCAGGTAGGATCTATAACAATGTTTATCAGCAATATTCAATGCCACTTTATCAAAGCTGAGCAGATTTTTCTTCCATTCGCTCTATTTACTGGAGAAGGAGAAAACAACTGCAGCAACTCAGAATTCCCTGACAGATTTATAGAACAGTACATGTGTCTGTTAATTCTGCCTTAAATGAAAAGCCAGAGGTTTGCCTAGAGCCAAGAGGAAGGAGTCCATAGTTAAAGGTCCCAGCATCAAAGAGGACCCATGCTTAGCAAGGTTTGAGAGGTGGTGAGTCTTGAATGGTATTAAACAGAATATGGAAAATCAAACCACAGGAGTTCTTTCATCAGAGCACTGAAGGAGGCCACTTGTGCCCACTAATAATCCACTTCTGCCTGCTGTGCAGAGCCCAGGGAAGGCTTCTTTTGATGATTCAGACTCCTGACCCCATCTCATTTGTTTTCATCCTCCTCAGAGTTGAGGACAAAGCACTGGGATAGATGAAAGATGTTGTAGAATGGGGGCTTCCTCTCGTTTCTTCTCCCCGCTCCTTTTCTTTTTCTTAGGAGAGACTACTAGCTTCTCATTGTCCAGGGGTCCTGTCAACATTTTATGTTTCTTAGCCAAGATCTACCTCCCTATTAAGTTCCTCTAAAAATGGAAAAGAAGAGCAAGGAGAAGTAAGAGCAAAGGAGGGGAGACACAGTACAAACAAGGACAAGGGCACAGCCAGCAGTTAGGAGTGCAAGTGTGTGCAAGCTGAGCATCCCTAATCCAAAATCCTGAAATCCAAAATGCTCCCCAAATCCAAACCTTGTATTTAAGAAGACAGATAAAATTCTCAGTCCCACTACTGAGAAACTCTGTAACTTTAGACAAGTTATTTTCTGAAAATTCCTCATTTGAAAGTATGTTTAATAAAATCTATACCATAAAATTATCATAAAGATCACCTGAGATGACATATGTGTATGACAATTAGTAGGTACTCAATTAAAAGGAAATGCCATCTGGTGTGGTGGTGCATGCCTGTAATCCCAGTGGCTCAGGAGACTGAGACAGGAAGATTGTGAGTTCAAAGCTAGCCTCCACAAAAGTGTGGCACTAAGCAACTCAGTGAAACTCTGACTCTAAACAAAATACGAAATAGGGCTGGGGATGTGGCTCAGTGATCGAGTACTCTGAGTTCAATCCCTGGTACCCTCCCCTCAACCCCCATCCCCCCCAAAAGAAATGCCATCTAATACATGTAGAGTTCTTAGTCAAATCTTAGGCTATGTGAATCATCTCTACTACTTCATGCTTTATTATAATTATTATTAATTAACGACATCAAATAAAGAAGAAATGAAAAAGAAAGGAGTCTTGGGTATATTAGAACTGTAAAGGGCATTAGGGTACCAAGTCTGACTGCATCATTTTATAAATGAAATCCAGGGCCAGAGTCAAAGTGACTTGTACAAGCTTATATGTTTTTTGGCAGTATTATATGGACTAGAACCTCAACTTTCAGGTTTCGTGTACAGAAGGTGAATGTACCTAGATGGGTATCCTGAAAGCTAGGGTCACCATTTGGGAGTGGTATTTTCACAAACATGGATCTTGTCCACCACTTCTTCATGGAGCTGCACTCCACACCCCCATGAGGAGTGTGACTCCTGTTCATTCATGCTGCATTTGCTCATCCACTGCTTGTAATTAAAAGAGGACCCACATGCCTTTGGTTTCTGAGACCATCATTAAGACTCAAGTGAACCACAAGCAAGCAGGCAACCAGGCAGGAAGCTCTGGATTAAAGCTAATCTTCTTGCTTTACAGGCACTCATCATAGAGGGGCTGTAGGTTCCACTGGAGAGGAAGCTGAGCCAGCTTCAGGGAGCTCGCCAGCCCTTCATCTGCCTGGGGAATCTCAGTTTAGAAAACATTATCCTTTCATGTTTTTCTCTGATAGTCACCACAATGATTCGCATTTGTTCCTGCAAAGTGTCAGAAAAGCCTGAGAAGTAGTAACAACCAGGCTTCTTAATGCATTCCCAATATCAAAAATCAACTTAATTAAGTAGGGTTAACTTTTTTTCCTGAGCAGCAATCAAACTTTAATTAATACTCCATTAAAATGAATTCCTGAGGGAACACAAGCATGCATACACCAAATGAATTCCTCTGCCAAGGTTGTTATTGCAGGAGCCTAAATGGGCCTCCTTCCTGGATGCTTACTCAATTTCAGAATGTTCCCTGTTAGAAATGAAAAGCAATCACATGGTTGCCACCCTCCTCCTCTGTAGGGTGCTCTTCTGCCCTCCTGCCCCTTCCCTCTCCTTTTTCCACTTGGTGAATGATTCTGCCTGGGATTTAAGCCCTGTTTTCCTCCGCCTACATGGAGGACCCCTCAGCGACCCTTCCTTCATTGCCTATCACTCTATATCCAAGCAAAGTAAGCATCAACTTTAATACCCACTTACTGCAGACCTCAAGAAGAAGACTAAATTCCCAATTTTAAAAATCAATAAAATAGAACACACTTGTAAACTTTGTATGCTCCATGCTGGTAGCAAAGATACCTTGTCAAAGTCCTATGAGGCTGATTTATGACAGGAAATAGCAACCAAAAGAAATGGGTGTGGAGTGGACAGAATGCTTGTGTTCCCCTTTCATCTCTTCCTGCAGTGACTATTCCTCTACTAGGGATCTCCAAATTTCTCCAGCTGCAGACTGAATGCTCCATCAGACCCCCAAAACTAATGCCTGTACTGCCCTCCCACTCCAGAGATGATGAGAGGAAATTTTGCCCCATTTGGTAAAAACCTAAATGCAGGTTATTAGAAACAAATTGTTAATATCACCAAGGTTTGAGGCTGATAACTCCTAGCCCAAACAGGACCCTGGTCAGACCTCAGTCCCTATTACTAGGAACACCACTTGACCCCTGCCAGGGCCGAGAGACCCATACCCCTTACCTCTTTGGTGTGTGTGTGAAAGGAGACGGACATGTCCAGGAGAAGCTTCCGCTGCTCCACCCTGCGCACGAAGTCTTGGATGCGCACCTCCAGGTGTCGAGCTGCCTTATAGATCTCCTCTGGGTCACATTCCCCTGTCTGAGCCAACTGCTCCGCAGCTTCTAGGAGCTTGTCCGCATTGGTGTATGTGTTCTGCCAGCAACAACAGTGAGGCAAAGTCAACTTGCAGTCAGGAAACAAGCTTCGCGCCTTCCTACAGCCCACCCAGGGGCTCCCTGAGTGAGCGGGAGCAGAGAGCGGAGGCGCCGAGCTGACAGCTCCCAGATCTGGCACCAAGACGCTGTGCGCGGAGCTGGCACGGGGCCCTGCAGCAGGCAAGCAGCTTGTGTGGGGCTGCTCCGCACAGTGGGCACTAGCTAGGGGCCTCAGTCACCTCTGGGATTTCTCAGAGGTGCAAAGTCCCTGCAGAGAAGCCGGAGGACCTGTGAGAACCTCCACATCCTTCCTGCTCCTTACTCCCTCCTCTCCCTGAGCCCCATCATTTGCCTCACATCTCAGGCTGTATCACCAGAGTCAGAAATAGCGCATCCACAGAGATGGTCTGTGTTTCTATGTGAGAACACCATAAAAACACTAACTAGCAGACTTGCTTTGCCTCCCCGCCTAGTTCCCTGTAACTATGGGTGTTTATCTTTTGGAAGGGAGCTATCTCTCTGGAGGGAAGGGTCAGCCACTCTAAGGAACTAACAGAAGGAAGCAGCCTGAGCTGGAGAGAGCAGAAGCAGGCTACTCCCTGTGCCTTAGCTAAGGCTGTTTGAAGGAAAGCTGGGGAGGTGGGTGGGAGTGGGGGAATCTGGTGATTTTGTTTATCAAGAGCTACTGCTTCATATGCATGCTTGCACCACAGATACACACACACACACACACACACACACACACACACACACACACACACACAAACTCCTCCAACCCCCACAGTATTTCAAAATGCACCCAACTTATAATTATTATTCACCAGGATGGGAGTCATTGACTTTATAATAGATATTACATTATAGGCCATGAATATACTTTTCCTCAGCAGTTTTTTTAAGAAAAGGCCTGGCATATCTGGATGTTGTCCCAATGATTCAGGTGTACATATATTTCTGAAAGTCTTTCAAGCCAGCATAGTGTTCTGTAGTGGTGTTTACTGTGGATCTGGAAGCAGAAACTGTCAGTCTCAAACACACAGTGAGTGGAGAATGGAAATGGGTTTATGATACTCATAAACCATGTAAGACTTCCATGTCTTCATGGAATTTTACAGGATTCCCCTGAAGATCTGGGTGTTCAGGACTGGATTGTGTTTCCCCAAAATCCATGTTAAATTCCTGATCCTCAGTATCTCAGAATGTGACCTTATTGGAAAATAGGATCATTTCAGATGTAATTAGTTACATTAAAATCAAACCATACTAGAGGAAGATAGGCCCTTAATTCAATGTGACTAGTTTCCTTACTTAAAAAAACAAACAAAAACCCTAAGACCAAAACAACATGTCACCTTGGACAATTTAGCAAGACCCTGTCTCAAAATGAGATTAAAAGGGCTAGGCTGTGACTCAGTGATAGAGCACTTGCCTAGCATGTGTAAGGCCCTGATTCTATCCCCATTTGAGGTAGACGGAGAGAAAAAGAGCATCACATGAAGACAGAGGCATGTAGGGAGAACACTATGTGAAGACAAAGGTAGAGATTAATGGTTGTAACTATAAATCAAGGAAGGCCATTGATTGTGGAAGAGAAAGGAAGATTTCTCTCTCAGGCTCTTAAGAACCAATCCTGCTCATACATTGAGCTTGGACTTCTACCCTCCAAAACTATGAGAAGACACATTTCTGTTGTCAGGCAGTGTGTGGTGCTTTGACATGGCAGCTGTGGGGAACTAATATGCTGGGGTTGAGCCGCTGGGAGGCTGATGACCCAGACTCTCGGTTGTTCTTACACGGATCATGAAGCAAATATTCATCTTGGCTTTTAAGAATTCCCAGGGAGGCCCAGGGGGTCCTTAAGGAATGCTTCCTGAAAGCAAGTAAATGCTATCCCAGTTCTAGTGAGATAGAGCTGAAAGGAGGAAAAATCATATGGCCCCAACTGGAAAATTCATGTTTAACTGGAGCTGCTACATGGAAGGAAGCTGAGAAGGGTGGGGGTGGGGTTAAACCCCACTGAGTTAAAGAATGGCAATTCTGGAAAACAAATTAAGGAAGTCTGATTCAGAGTTATGAGGGAAACGCAGGGTGAGATGGGCAGTAACAGACAGGGGAGGCTTTGGGGGCAGTGGGCCAAGTTACAAAAGGCTCTTATAGGACTGGACACAACTTCCAGTAAATAGACCTTTATATTCCATGAGAGAGATTGTGTTTCATAAAGCCCTCAAATCTTCTACCTTAAGTCCTAGGGAATCCCATGAATCCCCTTTTTTGGGATCACAGCTTAATATTTTCTAAACAATAAACACAAATTTGTGGCAAAGCTTAAAAAATTAAAAAAGTTAGGACCATTAAAAAAAAAAAAGTAAAACCAAGTGCTTACTGCATAAAGGGCCTAGGACATTCCTAGTTTTAACACAAAAAGTGTCCCAGAAATCCCCTGAGTTGCTGTCCATCTTAATTCACACCCAGTGCCATACTTATCTCAGGAGTACAGATGTATATGAATTGTATTCTGCCGTAAAAGAAGATCATTCCTCAGGCACATGACAACACATCAAAAGGGGCAAGCAAATAGTAAGGGATCATTAGTGGTTAAAGTTTCTTCACATGACCCTGGGGCTGGACAGAAAATGAGTAAAAACTAAAAACAGTTTTTGATAGTCAATAATTATTGAATATTTTTTCACATGCCCCAAACCGTCTACAAGCCTTTTATGCATACTATTTCCTTTAATCCTCACCATAACCCCAAGAAACTGGTATAGCCATCAGACCCATTTTATAGGAGAAGAAACTGAGGCACAAGAATTTCTGGTAAAAGTCACAAAACTATAAAATGAGAGAATTAGGATTAACCTGTTGTCTGGCTATAGAGCTCAAGCTCCAAACCATTATACTCTGCCAGAGTGCAGGCAGAGGCCTGAAGATGGGGAGCATTTTGTGAGCAGGAGGAGGAAGAGGAGGAAGGTTTCTCACAGACAGGATTCTCTTCTCTTTGAGTCTAGGGTGCTCTATATTCATTCCACATCACAGCCACTATCCCAGGCCATGGGAATCATGGGTCTCCATGCTGTCTTCCTCATAGTCTATAAGCTCCTTAAAGGAGGGTTCCATGTTTTATTTGTCTCTGGTTCTCCCACTGTAAAATGTTCATTGAATGAACAAGATCAGAGGTGGGAATGAAAATGTTATGTTCAGGTAAGTTGAGTCAACCTGACTAAAATTAGAGAACTCAACTTGAGTAAGACAGGGAAGAGTTTATGATAGATTTTATAGAGAAAAAAGGACAATACAAATAGATGGGAAGGCTACAGGGTAGTCTGCACTAAAAGTCAGGCTCCCTGCTCTACCTTTGCCCAGCTCTTCTCCCCATTACTACCAGAAAGAACTTCTAAATCCAGATCCAGGCACATCTCATGCCTACTTAAACTGTTCTGTGGCTTCTACACCCTTGGAGTAAAATGCCTCAGCATGGCATTGAGGGCTCTTCTCCATCTGATATCTAATTTCCCATCACCCCTACAAACAGCCTAGGAAATAAACGGCTGGCTTTTGTAGAAGTGCGTGCCCTGATGCCTGCCTGTGTACCTCTGAACACACTTCCTTCTGCTTGGGATGCCCTTCTCCTCATTTTTCTACTTAACCAACTCTCATTTACCTTTAAGATCCAGCCTGAACATCATTTCCTTTAGGAAGTGCACCTTCATGTCCACCTTCTTTCCCAAGATTGGCTTAAGTGCCCTCCTCTGGTCTCCCAGAATGACCTGTACTGCCCTCCTCCATAGTATCTGCCATATTCTAATGCAAACGTTTGCTTCTCTCATCTGTTTAGGGATGGATGTCTTTCATCTCTTCCTTAGTGTCTAGCACCAAACAATTGCTTCAGAAATATTTAGCAAACAAATTAATAAATTAATGATACACCAATTTCCACCATGCCTAACATTTGACCCTTTGTCTTCATTAATTACCTGGCACAAGACCTTACATGCTAGAATTCATTTTCCATTAATCATTCCATTTTGTTTATTCTATCTCTTTTTGTTATCAAAAATATATAGTGATCCCTATCAGTGTTCCCAGGTTGGGGCAAAGATCACAACAAACCTATGCTTGTTCACCTTCTGACCAAATCAACAATGGCTGTTGCCCCAGAGCTAGAGTTGACCTTACTCTGAGTTTTGTTCCTGGGCATTTATTGTTTTCCTAGCCTTTTAGCCATGCCTTGGACTTGATCCTTATTGATATGTCCCAACTGATATACCAAAAAGGGGTTATGAGTGCTGAGATTTTGATCCCTCCACTATTAGAGCTTTTAGACAGGACTTACAGTGGCCAGAGCTCCTGAGTCAGAGATTTGGCCACACAGACGGCTGTAGTGCCTGTTATTCCCTCTTAACCCCGCTCCTCTATCCCAGTGTCAAGCAGGTAAAATGCCTTACAACTAACTTATAGGGTTTTTCAAGATGATGGAATAGAGGAAGTCACTTTCCTGGCTGTTCCACAGCATGAAACCAAGAAAGCAGACAGGCAGCCTCTCAGCAAGGTGAAAGAACAAAAAATAATGGGGGGAGGGGATCTTTACTGGAATTTAAAAATGGACATTCTAAGCAGATTGGGGATTCAGGAGGTTGGATATAATAAAATAAGGAAGAACTCCCCAATGGTACAGCCACTGCCTTGATAAGGAAAGAAGCACCAGCCAGAGTGGTCCCCCTCAGTGAGCAAAGTGGAGGGGTATGGAAATTTAAAAAACCCACATTTTTAGGAGGCCTGAGGCATGTCTGGGTACAAAGCATTTAGAGACCAAGGTCACTGCCTGACTAAATTGAAAGGTGCATTGGAAATTATCCTTGTGCAGGAAAGAAGCCACCAGCTCTCCCTGTTGCATGCAAAGGAAAAGGAAGGAATCCTTTTGCAGCCTCAGTGCAGGGGCTGGCTTCTGAGGGAGCTAATTCCTGGCAAACCTAAGTTTGGCCCCAAATATAGGCCCAG